AATATATAAGAGAAAGAGAGGGGGAGGGAGAGGGGGCTCGTGTCTGTTACGTAAGTAACAGTAAATAAAGAATGAGAGAAGCACGGCCATACGTCTTTACCTGCTGCGCTCGCACACCCACCGAGAGCAGGACTACGTCATTCTGGAATTTTCGAAAGTTTCGTCCAACCGGTTCTCGATCGCGCGCAACCAAGACCCGTTCGTGACTCGCCACCGATAATGCCTTCGCCTGCGGTGGGATGCACACCGCGTACCGTTTGCTGGAAGCAAACGATCATCGTTCACCAATCCCCTGACGTTCTCGCGCGCGAGCGAAATATACGTGGATATGAATGGTTGATGTGTTCAGAAAAAGTAGCTTTGGAATTTCTAATTATCGTGTAAAGCTTTAATAATAGGTTAATTTAATTAGGGTTTAATTAATTTGAATTATTTTTATAGCTTAATTAATTTAATTAAAACAAGGAAGTTAAACAATTTAATTCAAAAAATTGCATTTAATTTTACTCAAATTTAATGTAATATGCACTAAGTGCATACTCTCTAATATAGACTACCGCTTATTTTAAAATTAACCACAGAAATACAGAAAATATATCTACATTTTGAAGGATGATTACGATAATTTTGGACCCTCAAAATGAAAATGATTTTCAGAAGCATTTTTAGCAAGGAACACACGAGAAAAATAGTACAAAATTTCTGCAGTCATCAAAATAACAATTATAAATGGACAAAAAGGAAAAAAGGAGTCCATAAACAAAAAGCAAAGCAACCCTACTTGTAAGTGTCCTGTGAACTACCCCACTTCCTCCCCCCGGTCTAGACTGTCTCTCTAGAGGTTCCAACTTTCCATGTGAAACAAGAACCTTCTCTCCTAGCCTAGGGGCATCCGACTTTTCATGTAAAGCACCCCACTCTAAAATATGGTTTAAGTTAGATTATTTTTTTTTTTATGGTGAGGGCAGAACACACTGCCATGCATATACTTTACAAAGCGAGAGCCATTTCATCTCCTTTCCTGCCTAAGGGAGGAATTTGCATGTCTCACTTTCCACGCAAAGTAATGTCCAATCCCTCTCTTCCGCCTAAAGGGGTTCGACTTTTTATACAAAGCGAGGTGCACTTTACGCCCCCTTCCCCCTCTTTTGATATTTGTTGAAACTTTTTTATTATTTTTCTTGTGTTTTTTGCTAAAAATATTTTTTCCGAAAATCATTTTCATTTTGAAGAGCCAAAATTATCGTAATTATGCTCATTTTGACATATAAAAGTTAAAATTAAATATAGAATTTAAAAATTAAAAGAACATATTATTTAACTCAAGAGATTGGATTGCTATTACTCCTTTGATATTTAACAGTGCAATGAGGAAACAGCGTAACAAAAATCAATCTTAAAGAATTTTACAACAGTTGCAAAACTGCTTTTTCTTTTATACTGAATGCAGCAAGTCCCTGCAACCTTATCCGCATTCAACATTTGATCATATCCGTAAAACATGAGGAAAAAAATTAATTATAATAATTTAATTTGAGAATATTATATTATCTGAGTTTGATTGTGTTGCAAGACCGAAAATAATTGGCGTGTTATATCTATTAGTTATATCTGAGATAAAAATTAATGAAATACATGTAGATGTATTATTCCAATGTCTGACTCTGATTGTAACTAGCGTTTGTAACTACTTAGTTGAGTTATTTATATAAACGATTCTGTGTTCTAATCTTAATATTGTAAATAAAAATTATTTTTCTTATGCAAGCAGAACGATAGATTACAACAATTCCAAAATAACTTTAAAAACGAATCGTGACTGATCAAAAAATGAAAAAAGTGATTTTTAATAACCATTTTGGAACCATTTTGATATTACTTTGATGTCACAATGACTATTTGTTTTGCTTGGGTAGATTCTCGGTATATTGCGGCAATGTAAATATTAAATATCGTACAACGCGATTACAAAGAGCGACGGTTATTTACTTTCGCGAAATCGACGAGCAGCGAATATTGCTGTCAATGCAACGATACGTGCGAAAAACGATGTCGAACCGAGACACATGATGCAGAATTAAAATTCCGTTGAATTCGATGGCAGAGAAGCGACTTTGCCTCCACGGTCGAGGACGAATTCGGTGATTCGTTATTCGACGCACGGTCTGGCGCCGAAAATATATTTTTACTACTTGAGCACGCGAGCCGCATGTATTCCACTTCATTAAGCACACGAGCTATTGTTCTCACTAACCTACAGCACTGTGTGTCTCATTATCATTTTTCGTGACGCCGTTGCTAAAAGACTGAGGATCTTCTTGTTTTGCGCGCCTTCACGAAAATCGCTTGAAATGCGTCACGTCTCATGGAATCGATTTCATCTAGGAAGCAGACAAATTAACCTTCGTCAGCTCCTCAGGTTGAATTGGATTGTTTTTCTGATACCTTCCAATTAATCCTCTGAAGCTGAGTCAGTGGATCTTCTATTGAATATACTCAATTACAAATCTCTAAGTTTAAAATGTCAAACAATTAATTTTTATATTACATCTGCAAATTTGAATTATTTTTATTAAATTGATTTTTATTAAATTGATTTACAATTAATATTTATTCCTTTTTATATGAATTATATATTTTATATGAGTTATTTTTGTTCTTTGAATTAATTAATTTTAAATTAATATAAAATTTTTATTATCAATTCAGCCAGGACTTCGCAGATAATTTACTATCGTTTTGTTACTAATTGTTTTCGAAACTGTGATCATTAAAATTGGAAGTCGGATTACTCTTGATAGTCGTAAAGCTTCTTACGATTAAATTAGTCTAGATGATCAAAATAAATTTTGTCGCTTCTTCGAAAACCTTATTCTTATTCACGAGAAATATCGTCGGTAACACGAAAGTATTGAACCGATGCTTTAATTAAACAATTTAATTTAATTGGATCGATCGAAGTCGAAGGTCGGATAAGAATTAAAAGATTAAACTAAGGATTTTCTTCATGAAATTGAAATCTCGACCTTACGTCTGATAATTAAATTCATGGTATAATCAGAAAGATTGAATTTCAATTTCGTACGTCAAGTTCTATATCAATTTCTTTCAATTCGAATTCGTTTTCACGGATTAACTACGGTAAATTTTCCACGCTTATGAAATTCCTTTTCAGAGAGACAATTTTGTCCGATTTTTCGGCATGATAAATTCATGCTCGCTCTGTTTGAAATTGAGACAACGACAAAGTAACACGATTCGCAAACAATGCAGACGAGGTTTAAAATTAGATCGTCGGGTGATTTGCGACGCGCGATACTTTCTCGAATATTCTGACACGAGGCCATTTGTGTCAGCACTAAGAAGACAGTTTATGTGTATAATTAGAGCTCGTTCACATGATATGGTTTTTTTGCCGGATCAGTCATTTTGCCGAATCAGTTTTTTTGCCATGCTCTCATGCAATACATTTTATATGGGATTATTCACATGATACGGTTATCGACCGTATGCGGGAAAATTATCGAATCGGTCGAAAATGACGTTCGGTCTTGTCACTGTAAACCGTATACGGGATTCGGTAAAATAGCCGATTGTCAGTGGTGCGTTCAGATGATACGGTTTTTCTACCGATACGGGTTTTCTACCGATTCAGTTTTTACAAAGAACTTTCCACTCTTCTTAACAAGTAATCAAGTAGGTATGGATTCGAAAATAATTGAAAAATTTTATTTCATCTTCCCTCAATTAATACAC